TGTAATCACTGTTTTATGAATTACATATATTTGCTGAGAATGCTTTTGCAGATTAACAAAGATCTGAACTCTGAAAAAAGATCAGCATTAATAAATAAGTGCTACACATCTACAGATCAGTCTTCCTATATACAACAACTAAATTTGACTTAAATAAATATATCCTTACTAATCAAATCCCTATGCATAAAAATCTAAATCAAATTAACTGAGAGGTTGACAAGATGGAGGATAGGAGATTAGGGAAAAATAAAAATTCATGATACTAGCCAAGCAATTGTTTCAGAAGAAAAACAAATGCCCTTTGTTCTGATTCTGGGAAATTTTGAATTCTCATGGCTGGGGTGGGAATGGGGCACTCTTATGTGATTCAAAGATCCTTACTGCTAAGATCTTCTTAGCAAAACTTGATTTTCAAATCTAAGTTTCTGGTGTCTGACCTCAATCCTACTAATTAAATCAAATGAAAATGGGAAATATAATATTTATGTTGAGATAAAGCCAATAAGTATAATATTTATGATGAGATAAAACCTAATACATATAATATTTATGATGAGATAAAGTCTAATTTCAGAAAATATCCCAATTTCTACATAAAGCCACAAAAAGAGTAGAAATATTTAACAATTTATGCCACTGCCAAAGGAAATTTCTCAGTAAACATTTTATTTTTGGATCAAACTAAAATTTTACTGGTATTGCTAATCTAAATAGTTCAATGCTGGGCACGATGGCTCTTGTTTGTAATCCCTGAACTTTCAGATATGGAGGTAGAAGGATCTCTTGAAGCCAGGAGCTCAAGATCAGCCTGGGCAACAGAGTGAAACCCCACATCTACAAAAAGTTTTTAAAAAATGGTGTGGGAGCCTGTAGTCCTAGCTACTCAGGAGGCTGAAGCACGAGGATTATGTGAACCCAGGAGTTCAAGGCTGCAGTGAGCTATGATCATGCCATTGCACTCCAAACTGGGTAACAGTGGGAGACCCTTTCTCAAAAAAATAAAAATAGCTGAGCATGGTGGCTCACACCTGTAATCTCAGCACTTTGGGAGGCCAAGGCAGGCAGATCGTGGGGTCAGGAGTTCAATACCAGCCTGGCCAACATGGGGAAACCCCACATCTACTAAAAATATAAAAATTAGCCAGGTGTGGTGGTGTGCATCTGTAATTCCAGCTATTTGGGAATTGCTTGAACACATGAGGTGGAAGTTGCAGAGACCTGAGATGATGCCACTGCACTCCAGCCTGGGCGACAGTCCAAGAATCCATCTCCTATATATATATTTTTGTGTGTGTGTATGTGTGTGTGTGTGTGTGATTTGTGGAGTAGTGGAAAAAAATTGCTCTAGCTACAAGTCATTTCGCTGCTACGAGAAATTTGAAGGTACTAGAGATTTGAATTAGATTTCCAAAAGTGCTGGGAGGAGATTGGTAATTGGGTGTTGACTAAACCTTCAAGCTATAAGCAGAATAGTAAATATTTAAATGAACCAATGTATAAACCATCCTGAGGTCCTATGAGTTTGTGAAAACTTGAGTTTGGCTTAGAGTTAATCTTTGATGAAACTCTCTATAATCAACCATCACCTTACAGCTCTTCTAAAGCTCCTTTTACTTGTGTATATAGTGGCATAATTGAAGTTAACTTGATAGTAGTGCTGGGGTATTGGCCTCAAGGATTTCTGAATTTGTCTAAGTGTGTAACGTTGTGCCAAACAAGTCAGCTCAAGAAAAATATTTGAAAATGTATAAAAAACATTTCGAGAAACACCTTCATATTTACAGATATTTAAAGTATAGTTTTAATTGAAGATTTTAAAGAGATGAAGTGACAAAACAACAAACTTCTAAAGAGAATATAAAGGAATTAATATACTCACTGAAAATTATTATATCAATAAATCTTCCAAGGTTTCACATGATTCCAAGGAGTAAAATCCCAATAGTAATCAAATTTATCACCTTGGAAAATCTAGAAAAGTAATCTCACACTTATGATGGAACAAGCTGAATCAAGAGCAGAATATTTGAGATGGTTTAAAAAAAAATAAATACTGTTAAGAAGTAGTTCTACACTGCATGGTGTATTCTTTTTTTTTTTCAGTGGATCCTAAAGAAAATAATGATTTATTCTTGTTTGTAAGAACAATGATAAGACATACAAAATTTTTAAATAATACTCTTTTGATGAATTGACCAGTGGAATGAACAGGAAAGAAAACCTAAATTAAAAATAGGACTGATTTTTGGACAACAGCTTCTAGTTTTCAAGGGTCAGAACTATCTTAAAGACAAAAATAAGAGATTTAATACATCTAACTTAGAAAGAAAGGAAAATGGAGTCTGAATTAAAAAAAAAACACTATCTGTAAAAAACTAAATGAATGGGAAGTTAGAATATATGAAGATAAAAAGTTGTGGTATCTAAGATTTTTATTTTAGTAATAGAGAATATAATCTTTTGAACGAACAGAAGTGAATAATTATGTTGCTGAGATGACTTAAGTGTTTATCTGAAAAGGTGAATCTTGGATGTCACCTACCTAAATATGATACACACGCCTGAATGCAGGGAAGATAGGACCCTGGGAAATAAGACAAGATTAAAGAAGGAGGTTAAAGAGTATCTTCAGAGACATAATATGAAGAAATAAAATTTCAAGTGGTCTACTCATCTAAGACAAAAAAATAAGATGAGAATAAAATTGGGAGTTTCTGACTTGAGGGGGACTAAGAAATTAATATAGGAAATGAAGAAGATCACTATGACTTCTAGCACCAATAAAGTCACTAAGTGAAAGGAAGAATATATATCTTGATGAAATGATCACTGCCTGGGCACCTTTTAAATTATAAGTTCAATTTAATTTCTACCCAAAGTCATCAGTAAAGTAACTTATTTGATGTCATAAGAAAATGCATACCTTTCCTTTAACAGCTGTAAGAAATATCTTTTAAAACTAGAAGTTTTGATAAACAGATTTAAATATATGACCAGTCAATATAAAATAATATTTTCCTTTAATATATTTCAAATTGATCCAGTTATTCACATCACTATATTCCAAGTTGATTACTTTTTTTTTTTTTTTTTTTTAAAGACAGGGTTTCGCCATATTGGTCAGGCTGGTCTCGAACTCCTGACCTCAGGTGATCCGCCCGCCTCAGCCTCCCAGAGCTGGGATTACAGGCGTGAGCCACCACTCCTGGCTGATTATATTCTTGACATAAAATTAAAAAGAAAGAAACTAAATAGCAGTGTCATATAGCAATTAACCTTAAATCCATATTATCCATTTATAGTAGTTTTTACTGAACTTACATACCTTACTAGTTTTACATAAATTTGATAACAGTGTTAAACAAAATAATAATTTTACATATTTTAATTATCCTTACAATAGACAATTCATCAATAAAATCATATTACCTCAGTCTTTGCATAATCAACAATTATTCTATGGCTGCCAAGATCATTAAATGCAAGATACTTCTATCAATAAATCCTATTGGTAAAGACAGTTCCCTTTCTTGGAACACACAGTAAATTTTCATATATGGAAATATTTAAAGAATACAGAAAAATTGTCATATGTTAGCAAATTAATCCTAGGTTTTGGAAGCGTTTGTAAGTAATTTGTTCTTTATGATTTAAAAGTAATGTCAAAAAATTAGAATACTCATGTTAAATTTTCCCAAACTAAATTGAAAAAGATAAGAATACTTGAGAGATGTTGTCTATATGAATACATTCTAGCCAATAAAAACAAACTAATAATGAAACAAAATACTAGGAGTAGCTGTTTTATTTTAGTATATTTTCTTCATATTTGGAGGAATATTCTCACTTACTATTCTTACTAATCCAGCAAAAGTGATGTACATAATTTAAAATCATCACTAGCTTTAAAACATGGATCCCAGCATCAAATTGAATTTTGACACTTCCTGTATTAGCATCTGAATCTTTCTCAATCATGTCATAATTATTATACTGTTTGCTTCTAAGCAGCATAAAATATAACAAAAACCTAACAGAAATAAGCTTAAAACAAAATAATAATTCTAGTTTGGGGATAAGAAATAATCATATTGATCATAAAAATAAATTCACACAAATGCCTCCTTCCCAGATAAAACCATAGTCTAAATATTTCCCATTCCTGACTGTAGTAGCCTCTTGGTCTCCACAATGTTGCATCTAGTCATTTCTACTACAGTGAAATAAATTCTATTCATATCCCCACACATACAAAGAACGAGAGAGAGAGAGAGAGAGAGAGAGAGAGAGAGAGAGAGAGAGAGAGAAAGATCAAAGAAAATGACCACAGACAAAACAGTAGATTAAGTGAACTTCCTTTCTTCATTTCAAAAATCTAAATGCCACCCAGGGAACACTGAACCACAAACACAAAATAATACATATACAAAATAATAATATATTCCACAAACACAAAATAACATATACAAAAATAATAATATATTCCAAGGCATTTTTTCTTCTAAATCTTTAAGTATCCAATATTATCCAGGTAAGTCTTTTAGATATTATGATGTGATTTTTTTCCCAAGTACACAGGTTGCCTTAAGTATGTATTAGACAGTATACTTTCATTTCCACAAAGACTATGAAATTGCTTTATACCTAAGACAATGTGGAACTCTATGATGCTTAGCAGACTATATAGCCACATAATTGCCCATTTTCATGCTTCCAATGAGGCCTGACAGCTCTCCAGTTTATAGCAGCAGCAGATGACTAGGAAAAAAAAAAGTTTCTTATTTTCTAACTTCCTTTTGGAAAAGACTTCCTGAAAATTCAGGATTTTTTTTAAGCGGCTTATGAATAATGGAACCCATTTCTACACTCAATCAAGTTGTATGTTCTTACAATATTTCTATCATGTGGAACAGGTACAGACGTTGCAAATCAAGCAATGCACTTAATTTTTAAAGTAATCAGAAAAGTGATAAATATGAAAAATTATTTCTAATTACCTCTGTTGAGTGATGCTGAACTGTTTATATCTCCAGTAATAAAGGAAGACTCTGACTGCTTTCGAACCGTGTCATTCCACATTCTACGGATTCGGCTCTGAGTGGGGGGGAAGGCAGAAAGAAAATGAACTCATGAGGCAGTGAACTTTCACACAAATCATTCTTTTCTTTTCTGTCATAGTTATATGAGACCTTTGTTTCTAGCATTTGGCAAATAAACGACATGTTTGCTGTGCAGTCGTATGAGAACATCAGAAATAATGTTCATGATAATACATGGTTCTCATTAACTGTATTTCTAAATGCCTATCTACCAAAGATAATTATAGCTATAAAAAGAGAAATAAGGATAAAGTACTATACCAATTTAAATATGTTGAAGATATACAGAAGTATATATCTTCAGACAGTTAGAATTGGAAAATTTTAATTTCTAAGGGAAAACAAATTATTTTTACTGTAACTTTTATTGGAATGAGAATGTTTAAATATGTATTAAATTGCTGGTTCTAACAAACGACTTTGTTTAAGAAATCAGAATCTTGCAAAAGAGTTTGTTAAGAAAAGAAAATAGAACATTATTAAAATGCTATTGAACTTACATTTTCCATAACTTTTATAAGAAGATAATTTTAAAGATTACATAACTATCCTGAATTTTCTTTCTTTGAAGAAGATCAAGTTAGTTGATTCATTGCTTCAGTAGGAAGTTTTATAGATAACTAAAAATTCTTACATTATTATTGATATTCCTACATTCAAATGTCTAAGTGTCAGATAATTCAAGAAAATAAATATTACAAACTTTTTCCATTTTGGGGGACTTTTTTCTGTTTTATTCTGTTATGCCATTTTATTAAGTTATGGATCAAAAAAGGATTAACCATCTTGTGAGGAAGAAACAAAATATTTTCAGAAGTTTTTCCAAGGGTGAAATAGCTGTAAGAAATACTGCTACTACTTATGAAGCCATGCTTACAATAGGTTATGTTCCAAATACATTTGAACTCCTTGAATTATGGGAGTAGTCAAGCTTAGAATATCAGACAACTGATTTTGTAAATCTTGGAACATGTTTATTCTTCAGAAAAATTGTTGCATATCACATTTTCTCTATGGTGACAAATGCATGCATACACATACTCACAGACACATAGACACACACACACACACATACACACACACAAACTAATTTAAAAAAGGAAAATGTTGGGAGCAAGTCTCTCACATTTCTTTTATTAGTTGGTTAATTAATTAATTGAAAATATTAATTACTATCTACTGCCTGCCAAGTACTAACCTATAAGATACAAAGGTGAAATGCAAGCACAAAATGTCTTGACCTTCATGGAGCTGCTAAACTAGTAACAGATTAATCAGATTATTAAAAATATAAATGCAAAAGTACAATATGCCCACAAATTTTCATACCGTCATTAAATATAGCCAAAATATAGACAACCAAAATGACTATTGATGGTACAATGGATGAATAAACTATAGAATAATATAAAGCAAAGAAAATTCAAAAGCTTATAGCCTCCTGCAGTAATGCAGATGTCTGGGGAACAAAGGAAAACATAAAAGAGTATGTACTGAATTGTTCCAGGTGAATAAGTATCAAAATATGCAAACTAAAATGTGCTACTAAAACCTAAGACAATGGTCATATTTGGAGGTTAACGATTGAAAGGGGTTCAAAGGGTTTCCAAGGTATTCTCAGTATACTAATACTTGGCCTGGGAAGAGGTAGGAATTCACTGTGCCATACACTTATGTTTTGTACACTTCCGTGACTTCATTATACTAAAGAATATTTTAAGATTTTACCAATTATGCCATATATTTTTACCATATATTAAGAGGCATGTCCTTGTCTAGGGAGTCTGAGAACAATGTAGCCTGAAGAAGTAATATTTTAACTGGGAATTGATGAAGTTATTATTGTTAGGTGATATTTAAATGATCTGTCCCCATGATCTCACCTCCTATTACTCTCCCCTACCTGCTCTAGTGAAACCTGTCCCCTTGCTGCTCTCTAATATGCCAGGCATGTTTGTGCCTCAGGGCTTGGCAACATTGGTTGTCTTCTGTGCCTGGGGTGCCCTTCACCCAGATACAGATATGCATAATTCCTTTATCCTTTTAACTCTAAAATATGTTCTGAAGATAAAACTTGACCACCCTACTTAGAATTGTAGATTACCCACACAATCCAATCACATCTCAGTCCTGTTCCCCTACTATTTCCCTCAACAGTCACTAACATCTCCTACAATACCATGTATTATATAATTATTTGTTACATTTATATTTAATGGCTATCCATTTAATGTCTCATATTTAATGTCTAATGTCTGCATTAGGCTTGAGGCTCTATGAAAATGTAATTTTTGTCTTCTTTACTCATTGAGGTGTTATACTTGGCACATACTACATAGTGTATGTATATTATATGTGTGTGTGTATGTATCTATATCAATTAATTATCTCTATGTTTTCTTTTACCTACTATATACTTTTCATGTATTCACTCATCAAAACTTCACAAGAATCAAATGAGGTAGGCAATCCTACACATTAGAAAATTGAAGCACAGTGGTTAATGAACATGCCCAATGGCATAGCCCTAATAAGTGGCATAACCAGTACTGGAAGGGGGTCATCTGGCTCCTGAGTGCAGGCAGTTTGAAAAAGAGGAAAAGATATACATATAAAATAAATATAGGTGTACACACACACACACACACACACACACACACACACATATATAGGCGTATATATATAATAAATAAAGGTATGTATATATAAAGATATATACATATATATTACATAATATAACATAGGCCACACTTAGATGTTTACCAAATGAACCAGGATGGGTTTTTGAATATGGGAGTGAAAAATAAAAAGTCAGAGAAGAGTATATACAATAAAGTATCATTTATAAAGAAAGATTCAACAAAGGAACGCTGAACATTTTTTGGAGGGAAAGAAACTATTAGAATAAGTTGTGGGAATGACAGAACAAAATTTAGGAGCCTCTCTGGAGGGAGGCATAGGGATTGATTAGGGAGAGGTTAAATAAAGATAAAAACATATTGAAAATGTTCTATTTCCTAAGTTGGATGTTGGGTTCCCAGGTGTTCATCTTATTAAAATGTTTCAATATTTCATGTACATATGTCACATAATTTTTTATTTTTCAAATATTCTGTAATAAAAAGCAAAATATCTAAAAATAAATAAAATGCATGAAAGATAAACGACGAAACAATTAAAAGAAAGTCAAAAGATATTCTTTTAGTCCATAGTTTCAAAAAATTTTACACCCATTTCTGAGAATATATGTTTGTGTGAATGATGTGTATTATAAAACTTTTATGAGTGATTAGTACTAGGAAGTAAGTTTGGAGGAGCAAGAGGTGAAGAGGATTTTTACTTTTTAGTCTTGGCAATCATCCCCTCCATTATCCACAATGTAGCAACATAAACTTTATTACATGTGGATTATATCCTCTCACTTTCATTCCTAAATTGTTTTACTGGCTTTCCAAAGTAATCAAAATAAAATTAATTTTCATATTGTTACCAATACTTAGGGATCTGTCTCTTCCTTTTTTCTTTGACTTTCTGTCTCACTCTCCCTCTAACCTACTTTGGCAAACATTTTTTGCAAGTTTTTCACACCATAAAGGCTTTGCATTAGCAGTATTTTCACTTAGAAAACGGCTCCCCTGAATTTCCTTTTCTCCTTTCATTTAGAATCTCGTAACACGGACCTGGGCTTAAGTACCACTTCCAAATGTAGTCTTTCTCCAGTACTTAATCTAAGTGGCCACCTGGCTAACTGACATCACCATATTTTTGTTCTCTGTCAGCTTTCCCAATTTGATATTTTTGCTGGGTTGTTTGTTATTAATAAATTTTCTGTCTCCCAATACTAGAATAAATATTCCAGATCATAGGGGAAGTTATATGTCTTTTAATCATTTTATCCCCAGAGCTTAGAAGATTGCTGGCAATATACAAGAGGCACTCAGTATTTCTAAGTTAAAGAGCATAATACATAGTGATAGTTATTTTAGAAGTTCTCCTATGTGAACGATGCATCCATACTCCCCAAATTTTGTCTTAATATCAGTGAATATGTTAGCATTTGCTTATGGGTGGCCATAATTAATGAGAAATACATTCATTAGTTTTATTTAAACAAATAATATAGATTTAAGTAACTTATAACCTTATGGAAGATTGGATGGTCACAGTTAATCAGAATTAGTATTATATGAAGTATAAGAAAAAAATGTAAATTATTTTCCAAGAGTAAAATTGTGATATTACAAATTACAAGAGTGAGGGCAAAAATATGGTACAGCTTAAAAATATGTATAATATTCTATAATAACAACAGTAATCAATGGTAGCAACCACCATTTATTGAGCACCTACAATTTTTCTTTTAATTTTTTATTGGATTATAGGTTTTGGGGTACATGAGCAGAGCATGCAAGACAGTTGCGTAGGTACACACATGGCAGTGTGCTTTGCTTTTCTTCTCCCCTTCACCCACATTTGGCATTTCTCCCCAGGCTATCCCTCCCCACCTCCCCCTCCTACTGGCCCTCCCCTTTACAATTTATTCTAAGTGTTTTGTGTATATGAGTTTAATCTTCTTAGCAACTTAAGATGTCAGTATTTATTATCAGTATTTTACAGATGAAAAAACTGAGTGTCAATGAAATTAATAACTTTTTTCTGTGTCTTTGCTGGTACATGACAAAACCAGGATTCAAAACTACGTATATCCAACCACAGGTTTATTATTATTTCATTGAGCTGCACTGCCTTAACTTGTAGTTTAGAAGTGTTGCTAAACATTGCCCAACTCTGCTGTAAGGTACTAAATGAGATTCCTAAATATTATTTTAATATTAATGGTATATGTCAATAAAATGATATATGTCAATAAAAGTAAAGAATGGTGGCTGATGAGCTCAGTAATGTGAAAAGCATGCCGGAGCTAATCAGGCTTGATGATACAGGAAATATCAGCAATATCAATTGAAAAGTGGCAAAAGTTATTACAAAACGCAGGAAAGAGCAAGGGATTATGAGTCTGAAAATAAAGGCATTAATTATAAAAGGCGTTCATACTACAATCATCACCCTTGTCTTCCGCCACTCTTATGTGAGAATTCAGATCTCTGATTGGCAAATTTAATAGTCCTAAACTCAGAAACTTCCACCCATCTGAGTTGGGACAATTATTCCCCTGATTTGCAACTTTACAACCTCAATGTGGTATGTAAATAATACATGAAATTCAGATTACTAATAATTGTGCAATTATATTTAAGGCTCATGATTTGTGGTTGGTAAAATTATTTAAGATAGTCTAATTTTTTGACAGTAATAGGTTAATCTTTTAAATTTTAATGGTAAATATTAGATTGTTACTAAAAATTTGGTTTTATTTGTAAGACAAAAAACTCAATTGGTGAGGAGACTGTTTATGAAAACACTGGTCATTCATTGATTTATAACAGTGCTTCAAATGCTAGTTAGGTGTGTATGACAGTTGATGTGTTTGAAAAAATTAGATATATTAAATTTATAAATGATATTTAAAGGATATAAGGAAATTAAATTTTCTAAGCATATAAATGAAATTATTTACAGAAATTTAATCTATTAAGCTTACAAGCCAATTGAACATCCATCAAATAATAACTGAAGCAATAACTTATTTTATATAAAATAACCAAATTTATGAAACAATAATTAGATTTATAGGTTGAGCTAAAAGAATTAAGAAAAATTAATTCTTGATCTATAACTGTATTTATCAATTTAAACTTGAGTTTCCTCAGAAAAATTTAATTGGCAACACTAAAAACATGACTTTTTATTCTACTGAATCATGCAATCTGAAAAGTACTAGTCTGCATGACTCACACCTATAATCCCAGAACTTTGGGAGGCCAAGGCAGGCGAATCACTTGAGGCCAGGAGTTTGAGACCAGTATGGCCAACATGATGAAACCCCATCTCTACAAAAAAAACACAAAAATTATTGGGGTGTGGTGACATACGCCTCTGGTCTCAGCTACTCAGCAGAATGGAGTCTGAGGTGGGAGGATTGCTTGAACCCAGGAGGCAGAGGTTTCAGTGATCTGAGATTGCACCACTGCACTCCAGCCTGGGCAATAGAGTGAGACTCTATCTTAAAAAACAAACAAACAAAAAATACCAGTTTGCTAGATTGAAATCAAACTCACTCATCATCTACACAATCCTATGTCTTTTATTTGACTGGCTTATTTTAACATTCAGGAGTTGCTAAGATTTCTATGTAATAACCTTTGAGCTGAAACTGTGCCTCAGGAAAAATGGCACACAGTTTACCTAAAAGCTTAAAACTTTTCGGGTAAGGTACTATGCTGCTATGTGTAGTGCTAGACGAATGGGAGTGGAGCTTAGATCAGCTACGGCAATAATACTGTTGCAGTATTCTTCACTGCCCTGACTTTTCTTCAACTTATTAGTATGAAATAAGATTGAGTCATAGTTATCTTTACCTAACATACTATATTATATGTAAATTGTCTCAGTTTGTAATGGAGAATTATTATACTAGTTAGAAGAATTCGAATTAGAACCATGTCGAGGTATCACATTTCTATGTATATGAAATATTACTTTCTTTGAATTTTGGATGAAATGGCAAATTTCTTCTTTACCTGCTGTATTTATTGAACTAAAAACAATCTGAAGTCATTAATTGTTATGCAAACTTAGACCCTAAATTTCATTATGTTATTACAATTTTGGTTTCTTCTCTGTCAGAATCATTCCCATGTGGGACACAGTGAAACAACAAAAACAAATGATGTGTGAAACACAGGATAGAAATTAGCACCAATCATAAGGGACAGTAACTGGTAACAGAAATATAGTTAAGAATTACTTCATTTCAGTGAACAACTATTGTTTACCTGTGAGCCTGTGGAGTAGCGCCCAGGAGTTCGAGAGCCAGATGTTTTCCCTGAACCAATGGAACTCTCTGTACTTTTGCCACTACAGCAATGTGTTCGCAGGCATTTCCCATACTCTTTTCGTACCTAGCCAATTAAATATTAACTTCTGTTAGCAAGTAATTCATTGCAGGTAGGAACAAAAGTAGAAAATGTATGTGAGTTTTATTTTTAGATAACATAATTACTTCCTTGCCCAACAGATATAAGAAAGTCTGTCCAACATATATTTTACAATTAAAAAAAATAAATTCATACTGTCAAGCATGAAATGTTGCCCAACTGGAGCCTTTTAAAACACACACACACACACCCCTTTCATAACATCATAGTGGTACTTTCTCTTAGTTCAAAGAACATATACTTAAGCCCATTCAAGATAACATTTTTAGCTTCATAAATTTGATATAACGTAGCCTATTGTTATAAGAGCATTGTAGCTGTTGTTCTTTAGGTGGAACTCTAATGAGAAAGTTCAAGAGAGTGGGGTGGAGAAGTAGGGTAAAAAGTGGGGGAGGAAGACAGAGAGGGAGAGACCAGAGAGAGAAAGCAGAGAGAGGATAAAGACAGAAAATATGAATACATTGGGTGAATCATTTCTTCTAAATCTGTATTTCTTTGAAGTTTATTTCTTTTAAAAGAGATCAAATTTTCAACTTGAGAACAAAAATTCAAAAGATTTTAAATTTAGTCCTTCAAAATAGTTCTACTCAATAATCACAGAGAAATATAATTACTTTTCTTTATAGCAATCTTGATTAAATACTTAATCCTGGTTGTAATATAAAATTACAGGGAAAAAGAAGACTTAGCTGATGTTTTTAAGCAGAGAGTTACATCAACTTTTGGTAAAATTTTTATAATGTTTAAAATTTTTATTACTGTCTCTTTAATTAAACAAGGCATATAAAAATAAACAGTAACTGCCTTAAATCACATCTCTACTATCAGTAACAACAAAGGGACACTCTATTATATTGATTATATGTTCACAAATTTACCTTATGAAACAGTATCATATATAAATTATTCTTAGGCCTTTACGTATTTGATTTCACATTAGAGTTCATTATTTCTACCCCTTATGATAATATAATATTCCAATAAGATTTTATTTAAATCAAAGTTATGAACATGTGCTTTAAAAATAATGTTATTTAGAATCAAAAGCAAGAAAGATATGTAAATTATGCATTCAATTTAGTATTCAAAATGAGAACATTTCATCTTATGGTAAAATTCATCCTGTCAAAGACACAGCAGAATCAAAGACAGAATAAATGCAGATTTGCTCAAGGAACTCACATTTATTGAGTGCTTGTTATGTGATAAGAACAATGATAGAGATGGAGTCAGGTGACTCAAGTATAGAAGAGGAGGTAGGTGTTGGGGGCCAAGGAAGGCTTCTCGGGGAAAAAGTCTTCCCAGATAGTCTTCAAAAGAGCCACCGGAATTAATCTACAGAGTGAAGTTGAAATAAAGAATAGGGGAGAAGAGGAGAAAAAGGCTTTCTTGCCATAGAGAATAGAATGAGCAAAACAGGGTTATGATGTGCTGGCTTTTAAGGCCTTTTTTTGCTCAGACATGGCAAAATTACTTATTTTTAATGTGTTTAATAAGCTATTGATTTGTTTTGCAACCAGTCTTTTCTGTGCTACATTTATCAATAATTAGAAATAGAGATAATTATTTTTGTTCAGTGTTTACAAGTCAGTCCATATATTGTTTATCTTAAAAAGAGAAATCAGTTTGTACCCAGTTATGTGTGTTTCTAAGATAGATCCATTGGGAGAGTGGGAAGAAGAACTTCTACTTTTTAACCATTATATGTCAGGAACTGTGTTAGGTACCTCCCTCAAAATAACTCTGAAAAATAATTATTACCTTCATTTTATAGATAAGGACATTGAATTGGGATAAGCAATAAGAGAAAACTGTAAGACTGAAAAGGTTAAGCAATGTGCCTTAGGAGAATAATCTAAATTTCATGGTTGTTCTATGATCAAAAAGCTCTAAGATGCTACATTTGAAACATGGATATTTGATCAGCACAGGCACTGTATATTAATAATATTATTATTAAAGTAATCTATTAATTATCTCCTTCTTTGTATCTCGAAAGAATTAGGGCAAATGCTTTAATTTATAACTTGAGAAGGCTTAAAATAATCTCTAACCAAAAGTAAGCAGTATCAGTGATAGTTTAGTAATTTCTACTGATTAAATGAAGCATCTCCAAGAACCTAAACTTTGATTATAACTCCCCGCTCTGCAACATCCCATTTTGTTTTTCCTAAAGTACTCAGCAAAAGACATGTTTCTTTCTAGATGAGAAAGTGTATTTGAATGAAATGATGTAAACCTAAACAAATATTTCAGTACAAAGAGAAATAAAGGTGAAGAAAAAGGAAAGAGAACCACCCTCCCTCCTGTTACAAAAGCAGCAATACTGTAAAAGCCACAGTCATTAATCATGGACTATTTGAATTTTCCAACAAAGATTAAATGTTCTGAACTGATTATATAAACAACAGAAAATCAAGATATTTGGTGATGCCAAGACTTGCATTAGCTACATTACTTACTGAATCATTATACTGACTTTATTTTGCTGTGATTTGATTTGAAATGTTAAGCATATGTCTTAAAAAGAAGAAAAAAAAATAACATGGACCATGTCCAGGAAACATTTTTTAGTTTACAATAAAAAAGTTATTTGATTGTTCAATCTTTGCATATTCAAATCTACTATTTCACATGGTACTGCATCTTAGTTATCCAAGTCAGATGATATCTTATTTTGGTGTCATGCTGTTCTAGAATACAGAAGACAGCAAAGACAATATACCTTACCAATGGAACATTTCTTCTATACTCTCATATCAGAAATAAAATGATCATGGGAACTCTGAGAGTATATCAAATATCTGAGTGTATGACAAAAGTAAAAGTAACCACTTTAATGTGACCAGTGGAAATACTGTTTATACAATCCACACTCAGAAAATGACTCATTGCTCAAAAATTTTAATTTTATGAGTAAGTTGAATCAATTAACAAGTGATTCAATAAGACAAAACTTTCAAATACGAAATATTTCATATTTCTCTACTCAACATATATAAACAACTATACCATCAATGTCATATTAGTGAAACTTAATCAGATGGCTTAAAAGAAAAAAAAACCTCCCAACCATTTCTTCAAAAGTACATTACATTTTTTTATATAAAATAAAAATGAAAAATAATTATATATTTTCTGATATTGGGACATATTCTTGACACCAAAAACAAATGCGACCAAAGTTTTAAAATTCAAAACACGGAATAGATGAAGGAGCAATATGCATATTACTTGTTATTGTAAATCATGAAAGTAAGCTTCCAAAATCAGGGCCTGGGAAGTTTTTCTCTAATGTCCAGATAGTCAACATTCTAGTTTCTTTGAGTCAGGAGTCAAAACCAAGGATATGGTGTATATACTTATTTTAAACTTTAAGTATTTGAAAAAATTCCTGGCTTCCTGGCTGTAAAAATAAAAGGCAGCTGGATGAATTTGGCTCACAAGCCAGTTTCCGGAACTCTGTTTTAATGAATCACAAATCCGAACTTGATGACATATGTATTTCAAAATTTAACTTACGTTAAATATACTAAAAAATCTAAAGTTGTTTTGGGGTCTTGAGATGTAAAATTTCTACCTGGATATCAATGCAATTATTACTTATTCTAGTGATATGTTTATGTTAAAGCAAGAAAAATAAAAATAATATTTTAATTAACATTGGGAAAACTGAAAGAGGTATTGGCTAGTAAAAATACTCAAAACCAAAATGATTTGTGTATAAAGTATAAAAATTTCTTTTCTGCTTTGTAGAAAACTTCCAAATTAACATTAAAATTTAAAAATCACTTCTTAAGGAGTTAATAAACAAATTAAAATTAGAAACCATGTTGGTCCAAATTTCAAGCTAATGTACAGAATACAGATGACAGGTGAATAAATCTGTTATACTTCAATATGATACGTCAGATTATAATAACCTAATATATTCCTTTTTTTTTCCATGGGCAAATGCTACCTTTTCCCTTAATCTCCTGATTTTGCTCACATTTTTTTTTTTTTTTGGTATATATTTCTCCTGAGTGTCAGTTATGGCTTTCTTCTATCCAAATCTAGACATTTTTCCAAGTTTTAGTCTCTCTCACTTCTCTGAAGTCTTTCAGAATGTCAACCACTGTCTTTTTCTTGACATTTTCTCCAACTATGTTTTTATGTTTCCCTTGCAGTTTAGGTGGTACCAATGATAGAGTCCTATCTGATTTAAAAAAAAAAAAAATGAGTAGATGCCGTGTGAGCCACTTTCAAATCTTTAACACAAAATCCTCTTTCTCTTTCCCAGACTTGCTGTTGGATGTTAAAACCCAAGAGGACTATAAAATCATAGACTGAGGTTGTTTGAATCTTTATCAACCTATGACCCTTCATGGGGTAACCCCGTTCATTGGGCAATGAGTAAAACGTAAACATTTGTTGAGTTAGACTTTTGTAATTTGAGGGTTGTACACATTAATTATTTGGGAGGGTTCATCTATTTTAAAACAACCTCTTTTTAAGGGGAATTCTAATCAATTAGATTAGAATCCATCTATTCGAATGTAACCTCTTTTCTTTACTGTAGCCTACGTTTAGAAGCCTGACTCATCATTACTACTTTATTCTGTATTGTGATCATGTCAACACATTTTAGGTATCTATCACCACCTAAAACTGAAACAGAGTAGTGTGTTGTTTTATGTTTGTCCAACTTGACAAGTGGACACTCTTTTCAACTTCTTATTTTGGTCCCACCAGTCTCTAAAACTAAAAATCCTAAAAAGAGATGTCTTTACTATTTCCTTTGTTTTCCAAATAAAAATTATAAATCTTATTGTTTCTTTCTCATAAATTTTAAAAATAATTTTCTACCTCATTTTCAGAGCTATCTCTTTGAATATTTTATGATTATTTTTACCCCCTCCATGTCACACATGAGTAAACTGAGACATGGGGAGGTTAATTAACTTGCCAAAAAGTCACATAAGTTTTTAAATGGAAGAACAGAGAGATTCGAACTTAGGCAATCCGGTTGGGGGTTTTTGTGACTGGACCAATTAAGACGATATTTTAAATAAAGTTAAAGTGCCTAAGACTGGAAAATGAATCTTGGGATTTTAGAAAATGTAATAAAATAATATTTAGTATTTAAAATTAACTTTGAAATGTATATATTTTATGTCCTTACAAATGTAAACATTTGCAAAAATAGATGTGTAAAAAACTGTGTCCTAATCATTCAACTCTTAGGTTTCATAATAAATGCTCTTAAAAGAATGAAATATAGAGACCATTATTAAGTATTCATTCAAAAAACATAAATGTATATTATTTTACCATAAGCTGTGTAGATATTTACATTTTCAAATGTAAGCTAGTGTTTAAAGAAACAGAACTATATACACATATACACATATATATTTCCTACACCATGATATATATCCATGATACGTGTGTGTGTGTGTGTGTGTGTGTGTGTGTGTGTGTGTGTGTGTATCTCATGGCTCCACAATATTTTTAAAAAATAATTACTTCCTAATACACAAATTCCGTTTGTCCACCAATGGGAATATTAAAGACTTTAAAGTCAAATCTACAAGAAGATAATTTGTTCATTGTTCAAATCAGAAAATGTTTTTATTGTTTCTACTGTTGGACACTCTCATCAACTAGTATGCCTGTATTTTGTGCTTGTTTTGCTTTACTATTATAAAAGATGAGTCTCTTTATTTCTTGTAGACAAACATAGCAAGAATAATATATTAGAATATGTTATGAGTACTTTGCTATCATGAGATGTATGCCATTTATATTTTTATAAAAATATTCTAGCTTACCTTCTTCTGTAGGACACAATGGAAAATAAATATAAACATTCCCTGTAGAGAATTGAAAATGGTGAAGAGATACGCCATGATGACTGTGCTTTCATTAATATACATGAGTCCAAAGGCCCAGGTCAATCCTAATAGGCAGAGAAGAGCTATTGCACCTATAACCCATGACCTGTAGAGAAAAGAAAAAAATTAATGGTTATCAAACAATTGGTCTTTAATTAACAACCATATCAAATCAACAATACAACACTGAAAAAAATGTTACAGTAACTTTTATTGACAGAAAATGTAAGACAGGTGGTGTAAATACTTTAAGATTTTAATGGGACTACAAATTTTCAAGCTTGAGGAGATATACATGAATGAAAATGTTATGAACACAGAAATTCATTTAAGCAAAAGCAGATTTATATCATAAAGTATTCATGTATTTGCAGTGCATATGCAAATGGCATGAGGTGTAATTATGGTGAATGGCAAGAGGAAAGCAGGCTATAAAGCTATGTTAGTCTTCCTGGTCTCACAGTGGCAACATTTGTTCATTTGTTTGATTTCCCTCTATTAGTGCTTCTTCTGATACACTTTCACCTCATTTAAAAAAAATTCCTCTTTTTCCACAAAACTTTTAGTGTTCATTAACAAAAATATCAGTCATATTAGGAGGAAATACATGCATTTGAAGTACATGTATGAATTTAATAAGCCCTATTGTCTAATTCTGTAGTTATAGAGAGAAAGCGTCAGGGATAGTAGATGGAAAAACGTAGCTCCACTCTAGTGGAAGCACTGTTTTTACTCTCCTTCAGTTTTTGGATCACTCTCTTCTATGGTATATTGCAGTAGATTTTACAAATCAGTCATATGGCATCTTTGTTTAAAAAAATTTTTTGAAGACTACAGGAACCTTCACTTCTTTGAAGTGTCTGGAAATTGAAGGGAGAAGATGAAGCTGAGAATGAAGATGGAGTGGTATGAGTGGAGTAGTATAGAATGAAAGACAAGTTTGCACTCCCACTCCATTCTCTTAGTTTCCTCCAAGCTGTCATTTGCAAGAGTTTAAGCAGGTATCAAAATTCATGTATTTGTGGTTAAGTTATGTATTGAATAACAAGAGAAAATGAATTCTTGGAACCACTGGGACTCATAATTAAAATGAAATCCTACTCAACTCCTAAGTATATGGGAGAACAGGACCAAATCAGTGGAGATCTCTATACAGTAATAAACCCAACCTCTTTATTCCCAGCACATCTTCCTTCAATAGGGTATATTCATATTTCTTTTCAGCAGATTTTTATGCTACACTTACATTGTCTCAGGAAGGTATATTTACAGAGATTGAAACTTTGTAAAATGAAGGGGAAACCATATATGTTTATCATAATCTGAAGCTGAGTTCAATTTGTTATTTAGAGAGAATTGCATCTTAAGAAAGATATGGTCCCAAAGTAGTTAATTATTAAAGTTTTACTAAAATTAATTATATTTACTATTTTTCTCCCATAACAATCAGCCACTATATTTCATGTTTAAATGCCCACTAAATTTAACATGTTTAATTGAAAACATCAACATTCTTGAATAAAGAATCTCTAAAGAAGTTCTGCTATTACATGTTACACATTTGCTTATATGAATTAGAAAACATTTTAGGTGTTAATATTTTATTCTACAACTGGATTCAGAAGTACACGAGCTTTTAAGGAAAAGCTCTCAGCTTCTTACAGACCAAGTTGGAAAAAGAAAAAAATAAGAATTGCCATTAAATCAAGGCAATATTGCTATTTAGATTTAAAACAAAATAATAGGATCAAATACTGAAGTCAGGTATTATCCACTGGAAAACACATGATGGGCCCAAGGGTTGAATGGTAGAAAACTGCAATGAGCCCCGATTTCTTAAAAATTAAAAAAAATTAAAAAGCAAAAGCATGAAGAAGTGAAATGGCACTGGAGAAAAATGAAAACAAAGGACTCTTCACCAGAAGAACAAACTGAAAGTCTCAGCAAGGTTGCCCATAAGTTGCCAATCATAGTTTATTCTTGAGGGACTTGTAATTTTAAAATATGTATGGGGAAAATGTCCAAATGTTAACATTTATGTTTATATTTATTAGATTAGTACAGACTTGTAGCTTTATTTCAGAAACTGAAATATATTTATACAGATTAGATCATTAATCAAGTGACAGGTGTCAAATTTGAAATTTTGCACATGTAAAAATTAATTTTGAAGAAGGCTTTTTTTTTTCTATTTTTCTATTTAGTATAGAAATTCATTAATATCAATTGCAATTGGGTAGTTTTATACCCATAAGATCATTTTGTAGATATACCAGTAAATGAGAAAATAATTTTAGATGAATGATGCCCAAACAAACAACAGAAAAGCGGACATATGTGACACAGAGGAACACATCACAATGAAAGAGGAAAGCTATTAAAAGCGAAACAAGTCTGTACCACAGAAAATTGCTATTGCTGTGGCACTGAATTCAGGTGATATCCAATTAACAAAGGAGAAGCAGAAATTTTTTTTGGCAATACACCTGCAGCATATTTATTCTGCATGTAAGTTATATGCCAGATTATTTTCCTGCACAGTTTGCTCTTCTGCCTCAATGTGAATGACAGAAGCTCTAATGATTTTTCAGTACTGATCTGACAGCTGGTTCATGGGACCACACTGATAAATGGAATTTATCAGCCATTCAGGTCATTCTTACTTGATGAAGGGTCTGTTATCCTCATAGCTAAAGAATGCATAGACATAAAGACAAGAACACCAACATTAGCATTTTATGACAAAGAATTTCATATGAAAAATATTCTCCTGGTCCCCAAAGGCCTCTGTCCCCCACCTCCCTGAAAGAAATCATAATCCTTTATATCCAGAAGGTAAATCCTAAAATGACCATGAGAACTTAAATAACACGAAATAAAAGCAATTTTATAATACTGCAATATCCCTTATAAGACTCAAAATTCCATTTTTTTTATCATGTGCTCATATTACTTGTGACTTGACAGAGACATTTATTTCTTAGAGATCACATTTCTCTAGAGAATGAGAAATTTTATGAGCAATCTGGAAAAGGCTTGGGGGTATGCTTAAAATGACAGATTTCATGTCACTGAAAAGTATTCTTATTCCGTAATATTAGTAGGTAAGATTACTTAATTATAGACAGTATGCTTCTATGTAATTTTAACTTGGAGATGATTGACCTTAGTTAAATCTTAACATTATAGCCCTTTGAAAATAATCTGTCTTGAGTACTTTAAAATTCTGTTGTGTTCTGAGATAGAAAACCCTGAATAATCTTTTATAGTCATAGGAACAAACATACAGCACCTGCGTATTGTCACTTATGTTTACTAATTTATTTAATATCAATATTCAATGAGTGAAGATAAGGAATGTTTCGGATCAATTTATAAAAACATAGTTTCTGCTTAGACAATTGTGATAAGCAAAAGAAAGGAGAAACTCTTCCTTTCTCTTCTCTCTTGCCAGAGGCAAGATAGTTTTCTATGTTATGTATACACAAATAAAGCTCCTAGAAAGATCCCAACTGTGATGTATTTTGAAAAAAAGAGAACCACTGATGAAAACTCACTCTTCAGAATGATTAAATAATACAGAATGGTATTTGAAGCCAGTTTGCCTGAGGTTTACATCTTAGCTCAACCACTTACTAGCTACCTATTTGATCTTAGGCAAAAATTAATTAACCTATGGTGTGTCCATATATAAGATGGTGATAATTATAATGCAAGTTTCTTGTGATGATGAAACAATTATTATAAATAAAATGCTCAGAACCGTGTCTAATGCAAAATGTCTTTAATAAATATTATATACGGTTATTATTTTTAAACTATTTAAAGCTAGGATAAAACCACACCGAAAATACAGAATTTCTCACCCAGAGAACAAAACCCCAAATACATAAATGTTGAGTAAGTAAATATTTAAGGATATTTCAGGAGCAGTATGATGCAGTAAAATAGATGTGGCTGAAATAAGTTGGTAAACAAAGCAGAGAGTGACTAGAACTATACATCCAGTGGGGAGATTACTAGTTATGTGTGGCTACTTACATTTAAATTCATTAAATAAAATTAAATTTAAAATTCAGTTCCTCAGTTACACCAGTCACATTACAATTACTCAAAAGCTTCATATAGTTAGTAGTTACCATAGTGGACATGTCCATCATCACAGAAAGTTCTATTGGACAGTACTGGACTTAATTATGGACACTCAAAGACAGTTTTAAGGCAAGAAGTGGAAATCCAAGAGATAGTTACATAATTCATGGATGTGTGAAAGATATAGAGAGAAGAATTTGTAAGAATTGATGTTATTTATCACTTGTAAAACAGGCCTAGAAGGAAAAATCCTGTACTTATAGTACTATCAAAAAGTTATAAAGCATAATAATGTAATATTTATTAAAGTATATGCATTCCCATTGCATCAGTATACTCCATCTGTGATGTCCACTTCATGATTTGAATAATTCTACCTTAATTTGTATAGGACAATGTCAAGCAAAGAAAGTTATAGAGGTTGACACATAGGCATACAAGCAAAAATGCTCTACAAAATTGATTAAGCTTTGTATATATTTTAAATAAATTTCATGATGTATATTTTGGGTATAAAACACGATGCTGTAGGATATACATAGATAGTAAAATGGTTACTATATTGAGGCAAATAAACATATTCATTATCTCACATAGTTACTAGTTTTTATTTTTGTAGCAGGGCAGCTAAAATCTACTCATTTAGCATGAATCCCATACACAATACAATTCTATTACCTATAGTCCTCATACACATTGTCTCTAGACTTGTTCATCCTACACATCTGCTCCTTTGTATCCTCTGACATACATCTCCTCATTTCTTCCCCCTGCCCCTGTGTTTTGTTCTCTATCTCTGTACTATACAAATGTTTCAAAAAATTAAAATACAAAGTTTGCAATATAACTGCTGAGGTGACATATGTTTTGCTTTTAATAAGAAATATCAAAAATAGAGATATCAGGTTGTAACTCAGCAGTTTTTATCAACTGGTGGGCGACCAGTCAGTTGCTCTACCCAATAACAAAGACAACAGCAACTCCAGCTTCACTTATAGTTTACCATAGTCATATGTGGAAGTCATGTCCACTGGGATGTGGCCAGACGTGAACTGTGACCTTTTTGGGTCTTGCCAATTAAAGGATTGGAATTGGTCTCTTCTTTACCATATGCTGCTGTCCTTCCACTAGAAGAAAGTGATTTGGTGCCTTAGGCACCAAAATGGAGGCTGTTATTTATGTGGAGCTGAAAGATTAGACTTAGACTACCTACTTCTAGACTCTCATAAATAGGGTATAAGGCACAATGTTTTAGAATTTTTTTTACAGTGGCTTAATTTGTGCAATAATTAACCAAGCATTTCTTTTATCTCAAGAATGAGATAAGTAATATACAATGATTGAAAATCTAAAGATCACTGAAGATTACCTACAATATGTGAGTACCTTCCATCATTTTTTGTCAAATATTCTACTGGCCTCAATTACCTAGTTTTATAGTTTCTCTCTACCAAACCCAAATTAAATTGGTGGTAATGTTGCCAAGTTGTTGATTCCTTTTTTTTTTAATTTAAAATGCAGATCCACAGAACTAGTTTATATAACTGAATAATTTTTATTCTGATTTATCAATGATAGTCCATTCAAATAAAATACGATTACACGTTGTATGACAAACAATTTTATTGGAGTATATTAAAGAATTTGATTAAAATGTGATGCAAAGACCTAATATGTTCTTAGCAAATGTTAAGAGGAACTTAACAGGTTACCTTATCATTTATAAGTGGTGACTTATGGATTTCTCAAGATAAAACTATTCCTCATAGACGAAAAACAGGTAATAAATACTAAGGCAGCTGTATGTTGGATGGGCTTTTCCTCAATCAACAGCGAGGCTTCCAAGTTGAGGACTCAGAAGATTCAGTTACCCTGATTCTAAAAGGAGCCAGCAGTAACCTGAGATAAAGGACTTTCAAGAGATTTACTTAGAAGTGATCTAAGAGACACTGCTTTGCCATACTACCAGCCCACTTGTTCCAAGTCCTTAAAAATTCAAGGGTGAAATCAAGGCCATTTTAGGATTGCAGTATTCACAGAATATATTAAATAGTAGAAAGAAGACATAACTTTTCTCATACTAATCCCCTAGCCACAAATCTTAGCAGGTAGTAGAGGAAGTATGTTTTACATGGGATAGGTTATTAAAGTTTTAAGTTGGTCAGACGTATATTACACAAATAGATTGGCAACATTACAATATATTTCTAAGATCACAGTGAGTGATGTGCTACTCAGTAGTTTAAGGATATTTAAGATAGCATAGCTAGATTAGTGATCAGAAAAAAAGTCTAGACATTTAATCTTTTATCCTATTGCATTAAAAAGGCTCAATCGAATGGTTATACTTGTGACAGAAATCTTGACAGCTTAATATTTGTTCCAGATGTAACTTTTGTTGTTGATGGGACTATACCATCCTGAAATTATATTATTATATTTGTTCTTTGTTCACCACTATAGGAAGATTAAAAGGAAAAAGAATTTCAATTTTTTTTTTGAGACTGAGTCTTGCACTATCACCTGGGCTAAAGTGCAATGGTGCAATCTTGGGTCACTACAACTCTGTCTCCTAGGTTCACGTGTTTCTCCTGCCTCAACCTCTTAAGTAGCTGGGATTACAGGTGCACACCACCACACCCAGCCTTTTGTATTTTTAGGAGAGACAGGATTTCACTATGTTGGCCAGAATGGTCTCGAACTCCTGATCTCGTGACCTACGCACCTTGGCCTCCCAAAGTGCTGGGATTACAGGCATGAGCCACTGCACCTGGCCTGGTATTTAAAATTCAATTCAAGAGTTCTGAGTAAAATATAAACAAGTTTTCTCTATGGTTATATAATAAATCAATAAGGATTAAAGATACTAAAAATTCTTCAAAAAACATAAAACATAATATACATATAACATTATAAACAACAGAGAACATCATTATATTTCAACTATGAATTTTATTGCTATTTAAATATTACTACCAAAAGCTATATTCCTGTGTTTCATTCATAGGAAATATATAAAAGGAGAATGAAATGAACCAAATAAATAAAATAAATGGTTTAGAATATGTCATAAACATTTTATTCCTATGACTCAATAATCCCATAATAATACTGCAAATTTGAAAGCAAGACAGCAATAATAAATTTTAAATGATAGATTGTGTGCTGCTTACGAATAAGGTAAGTCTGAAATTAGGAAAAGCTGAGTATAATAAACTAAGTTCAATAAATATCAAATCAATGACAGACAAAATTCTAATTTCTCTGCAATTCAATGTTATATAGACTATGCTTCCTCTACAACTCAATGTTATATGAATTTCTTTAACTCAATATATTATTATCAAATAATTAATTCACATGTGAGAGAAGTTAAGGGTATCAATAAGGAGAATGAATAATGAAGTATTAAACTGTACTCCATTTATACAATTACATACTTATTACAATTTAGTATCTCTTTCTATCAGATTTACAAAAACTAATTGGTAGATTGCATACAAATAAGATACAGGCATACCTCAGAGATACTGCAGGCTCCGTTCCAGACCATCGCAATAAAGTGAGTCACAAATTTTGGGGTTGTCCATTGCATATA